TTTTTTTGGTCTTTTTGAGACAGGGTCTCCCTGTAGCCCTAGCTGGCCTGAAACTCACTATGTAGATCAGGTTGGCCTTGAACTCACAGAGATCTGCCTGCCTCTGCCTCCCAAGTGCTGGGACTAAAGGCATGTACCACCACGCCTGGTGAAAATTTCCATTTTAATGTCCTTTTTTATAATCATATTTTTCTGCAGTGTACAACTCTGCTTGAATATAAAAATGACATTTAAAAATATTTTCTCATGCAGCTCAAAATTGTTCTGGATTAAGAACCTGTGGACAGTGTTTGGAACATCCAGGATGTGGCTGGTGCAATGATCCTAGTAACACAGGAAGAGGATACTGTATTGAAGGGTCTTCCCGGGGACCAATGAAGCTTGTTGGATTGCATAGTAATGAGGTGGTTCTTGACATCAGTCTTTGCCCCAAAGAAAAGAACTATGAGTGGTCTTTTATCCAGTGTCCAGGTAATAAAAATGTTATGACAAATTTTTGTCTTGAGTACACTGATACATTTTATTGTTTACATCATAAGAGCATAGAATTCACATGCATTTTAGTGTTTCCAGGAAACCTCATGGTAAATATGGGAATCGTGTATGCAACATCTGTGGTGGATTCCCCGACTTTACTGTGAAAGTGGTGTTCACTACTATTCTGTTTTGAAGATCCCTTAGTTTTTCAGGGGCTTCCTTCATTCATAATTTCATATATTGTGCTTTTATTGAAGAAAGGCAACATTCTTGAAAAATTAATTTATTCAGTATATATTTACAGAGTACCTACTGTATGCCAAATAATGTAGTGTTTTAGACTCTAGAGACAAAATAATATTGTTTAATCACTGCATTCATGAACCATATATGTATATTGAAATAAAAAATATGTATGGTATTACATGGTGGTAAGTGCTAGAAAATGAAAGGAGGGAAATAAGGCTTGCTCTTTAGATGGCAAAACCTCACCAAGAAGTTGACATCTACAAACACTTGAAGCAGAACAGGAAATGCATTATGACTGGATTGTCTGTGCGGTAAGTGCTTTAGGAGGGGGTCACAGATTTAGTGAGCTAATCTATCTGGGAGGTGATTCTAGGAGGCTTCACTGAAGAAATGGAGAGCTTTTCAGATTGGAGCTAGAAAACAAATAGTATGTGCATCCCTCTTCTGACCTCCATGACATTGCATGACACAGGTGTACTCACATACATTCAGGCAGTGTACTCATATACATAAAATAAAAATAATAAATAAATTTTTTTTAAAAAAAGAAAGCTGAAATCTATAAGGAAAAAGGGAACATTTGTAGAACTTCAAACTTTCATCTAAAATATTTATTAAGACTGGTGAAATGACTCGGTGGGTAACAGTATTTCCTTTTCAAAGCTGACAGCTGGAGTTCATCAATCCCTAGAACTTACATAAAGATGGAATGAGAGAACCAACTCCACAAATTTTGTCCTCTGACTTATACATGAGGCATGAGTGGGAGGAAGACAAGAGAGGGTAATGGGGGTAATATGATTCAAAAGTGGGTAATGAAACCCCTTATGTATAATTAAGATATGGTAATAAAATCAGTGTGATATTCTGAACTAATGGAACAGAAAAGGATATTTGTGGCAAAATAGATGAAGTGGGACTAAAGTCTGTCATCTAGATAATAGTATTATAAAATGTTCTTTTTTTGTATTAAAATATTTTATTTCTGTTTTTTAATTAAAATTTTATTTATTTTTGTTTTATGTGTATGAGTGTTTTACCTTCATGGGGTCCAGAAGGATCCTCTGGAACTGAACTTACAGACAGTTGTTAGCTGCCACATGGGTGCTGGGAACCAAACCTGGGTCCTCTGCAAGACTAGTCAGTGCTCTTAACCACTGAGCTTTCTCTCTGTCCTTTATATCTGTTTTGTAAATTGTGTTTATATGTGTGCATGAGTTCAATATTCATGGAGTCTAGAAGAGGGTGTTAGAACTCCTGAAGCTAGAGTTGTAGGTGGTTGAGAGATGTCTGATATGGGTACTGGAAATCAAACTCATATCCTCTGCAAAGCAGTAAGTGGTCTTAACTGCTGAGCACCCACCCCATGTTAATTTCTAATTTTGTTGGGTGTGGAGGAAGTTACTAACATTTGGTACACAAGTACACTGGTACTATTTTTGCAATTCTTCTGTAAATCTAAAATTCAAAGTATAGTTTAAAAACAATATAGCAGTTTTAGAAAAGTAGTCAAAGGAAACATGAAAATTATAGTTAGTAGAATTAAAAATTCAGTGAGTACATTAAATAGGTAAAATGTGAAAGACAAATGATCTAAGTAGAAGATAAATTCTAAGAAGCAATTCTGAGTTCAGGAGAAATAAGTAGAAAGAGATGTGTAGGATATAAAAGAGGTTTAAGATGAAAAGTTCTGAGTATACTTAATAGGAGTTTCAGAAAAGGGGAATGATTATCTTTAAAGTTATTGCCCTGCAATGGACTGTAGGCACTAAACACAATTAGTGCTATCTTTTTCAAATATAATATAGAATTTTCTGGAAAAGTTTTATAATCTGAGGGTTAGAAGGGGGCACATGATTTCATAAACTTTTAGTGCATTGATAAAGTAAGTGTTTAGGTAATGCATGTCTTTGTGCACCAGTATTTCAGAAGAAAAACAATTGTTTTTAGAAACTGGGTAGTGAACACATATGTGTCATGAGGAATGTATGCTTCCTTAGTCAGAAAAACATGGTCAGAGATGGTGTTTTTAATTAGTTTGATGATTAATCAGGCTTGTCTACATGATTGGAGTAAGAAGTGCTAACAGGAATAGTACACATCTTTGAGTATGTTTGTGAGGATAGTTCTGGAAAGGATTAACTGAAAGGGGATGATCTGCTCTGACTGTGGCACAGTCTCATAGGCTGGGGCCTACATGGAAGGAAAGGGACATGGATAAAACCAGCTAGCATGAACATCTCTGCTTTTCGATTGTTCTTACTATGACAAAACCATAAGTCAGAATAGCATTCTCCTTTGATTCCTTCTTTGATTCCTCAATGATTTTGACATAGTGGTGGAAAAAACTAATGCCAAAATGCACCGTAAATGTGGGCTGTTAAATTTCAAATCTGACCAAGTGTTGAGAAAGCTTTGCAGCTGGTTTATAAGAGATATTTGGAAAAGCTTGGAGATGCAGAGTAGAGAATCTCTAGAAAGGTATACACAGGGCTCAGTTGACGATTATGGTGGAAGATTAGAATGTCAGAAAATTAAAGACTATGCTCACAAGGTTTTGATATGAACAGGACCTTTGAGAATTGGGTTAGATGTCAGTTGTGTTATATTCTGTTAAGAATTTTTGTATATTTGGTCTGGGTCCAAAGATTTTTTGGGAGTGCAGTCAATGGTGATTCACTAATTGGCAGAGGAAATTTCAAGGCAATCCAACATTCATGTTCTGGTATGGTTATTGCTAGCTGATTTTAGTCAGGTTTATAGTGAGAATTTAGAGCAAAAAGCAGAGCAGAAAAACTTGAAAAACTTGCAATTTGGTCAAGCTTCTGAAAAGTTCATTGGTTAAGATACATTGGATCTAATTACCAGATATTTAAAGTTAGCTATGTAGCTCCATTATGTTTTCCATTTTTGTGGCATTAACATTGTATATAAGATTTTTAGCTTTATGGTGTACCTAAGTTTTGATATATCCTTTGAATTTGAGGATTTTTTTTGTTATTGTTTTGTAAAAATTTAGTTTTTCATTTCTTTATCCCTTGTCTACCTAGTTTCCAAAGGGCATTTCAATTCTTTTACTTGGTGCTTGTCGACCCCACCCTTTGCCCTGTATACCTAAGATTGCTACTTAAAATTATGCCTACTTTTAACTGTCTTTCTTGAATATCATCTGATCTATGAAGGACACAATTTTAGTATTTTCCTATTTAAGATCGACTTTATAGTGTTGTATGTTTTATATCAATCATAAACTTGAAGCTAGTTCTCCTTTTCTGTCTTTTCCCTAGTTTATCTTGAAGAGACTTTGCTTGCCATAATTTTTGCAGTAAGATGATTGCAAAAGGATTTCCTTCTTTTGACCTACTTTTAAAAATTGTTGCTTTCCTTTGTAATCTATATTTGATTTCAAATTTGAGTGTTTTCTGTTATGAAATTATAATGAGGGTATCTGTTGGGATAATTTTCTTTTTAAAAACTTTCTTTTTTAGGGGGACATTTTGTGACAAAACTTAAAGACAGCCTCTGTTATTTTCAGATGCCAAAGCTTTATCTTCTTTTTCATGCTGTTATAAATGAACTCCAAAGAAATTAATTTTTAGTTAGTTTTTGGTTATTTTATAAGAATGAAATTTGCATTGTTATATTTCTTATGTCTAATGTGACTCAGTGAACTTATTTTTCCATTTTAGTAGACTTTTTAAAAATGGAATTACTAGAATTTTCTTTCAGTTGCTTAAATAGTGGTTATTTCCTTTTCAAACCATGCGTTATATTTTAATTCTTTCCTTCTTGTACTGACTAGAAACACCAGTACAGTGTATAATAGAATTGGTCACAGCAGACATTGTACTTAGAAAGCATGTAGCTTTACCTTTATACATGTTGGCTATTATTTTTTTCAATAAATATATTTTATTAGCTTGAAGAAGTTCCCTTCTGTTCTTAGCTATATGGGATTTCTTCTGTAGAAACTCATAAACAGTGCAGTTTTCCCAAAGGCTTTCCTACAGTTACTGTGCTGGTTATATAATTATCATTTGCTAATATTGTTAATTATGTAGATCAATTTTTCTAGTGTGAAACCTAGCTTGTGTTCCTGTAGAAACCCTCCTTGTACATGATGAGCTAGGCTTTTACTGTATTGTTGGATTCAGTTTGCTCAGATTTTGGTACAAATTCCTGTATTTGAATTGATAGAGCTATTGGTCTGAAATTTTCTCCTCTCTCCCCACCCCCCATTTTGGTGTGAGTATAGTGCTATTTTCAAGAGTTGAAGAGCAGAGTATTTCTTCCTCTTATTTTGGGACGATATTGTGTAAAGTTGATACTGTTTTTTCCTTACATGTATGATCAAAAAAGACACCTGAGCATGACATTCCTTTTGAGAGAGAGATTTCAACCACTAGTGCACGTTTTCTAGAGTAGTCTTAGAAGCATTTAAGATGACTTTTTTCTTGTGTGAGTATGGATGGTGGTTTATATTTTTCAGGGAAGTTGTCTAGTCCATCTAAAGTCTTACTGACATGAAGGTCTGTATGATCTTCAGGGATGTCTACCTTTTAATTCTAAGTGTTGATAATTTGTATTTTCTTTTGATTAGTCTGGCTTGAGATTTGTCAATTTTCATTGATCTTATGGATGTTTTGTTTAATTGATTTTTTCTATACTGTCTATATGTATGAAAACTTTATTTTACTTTTTCTTGCTTGCATTTAACTTGCTCTTTTTTCTACTCGTAAGGTGGC